AACCTCCATTTTCTTTTAGATTATATTTTCTTATCTGAGAGGCAGAGTTACAGAAAGCGAAGAGAGATATCTTGCTCCTACTGGTTCAGTCCCCAAATGATTGTAATGTCTCAGGCCAGGCCAGGCCAAAGACAAGAGCTTTGGAGCTATATCAGGTCTCCCATGTAGGTGGCAAAGACCCAAGAACTTGAGCCATCTTCCCACCATCTTCCCAGGAGTATGAGCAGGGAGACAGGTTGGAAATGGAGCAGCATTCGAACCACTACTCACCAGTTCAAATCTCAGCCGCTCTACCTCTTATCCAGCTCCCTGGTTAGGCGCCTGTAAAAGCAGCAGAAGTTATCCCAAGTTCTTGCACCCCTGTACCCACATGGGAGACCCCGAAACAGCTCCAGGCTTCAGACTGGCTCAGCTCTAGCTGTTTAGGGCAGTTGGAGAGTCGATCTACATGGGCAAAATCTCTCCCCGCACCCTCTCTCTTTTTCCTCACTCTTTAACTGCCTTCTCAATAAAAATACATATTTTTTTTAAATCATTAAATTTGTTAGTGTAGTAATAACACAGTTAACTCTCTAAAAGGCAAGGATAAAAGGGCTTTCAGCCTAGTTACTGAGTGCTTAATCATTTTTATTTATTCCAAAGGCAGAATGACAAAGACAGAAAGAGGATGGAGAGGGAAGAAAGCAGAAAGAAGAGACAGGAAGAAGGAGAGATGGAGATGGCTCCTCCATCCCCTGGCTTACTCCACAAGTCCTTGCAGCAGCCAGGGAGGGTGCTCGAGACAGCACCTCCTGGGTGCAGGTACCCTAACCCTGGACAAGAAAGGAGAGGCACAGGGAGCACAGACTCCTGGTCCTGGGTGTGCTGATCAGGGATGCAGGGATCCAGAGCACCCACCTCTCAACCTGCTATTGGAGATGCAAATCCTTAATTAGCATTTTTATTTTTAATTACGATTTAATCCTCATGAAAGCTGATGCCTTTACAATTTCAGATTAAGCAATATAACATGATTAAACTCATGAAAATTTAGCTAATTTCGTCATTAAGCCTCAAGCCTGACCTAAAATTAACACTTCAAAAATAGGATATATACACCACGATCAAGTGAAATTTATGATAAAAATGCAAACAAGTTTGGTTCATATGAGAAAAATCAATCAATGCAATACAACATATTCACAGAAAAAAAAATGACTAAAAAAACACTCATCTCAACAGAAACAGAAAAAGCATTTGACAAAAGTCGAATGTCCTTTCATCACAGCAACTCAACAAGCTAGGACCAGAGAATTTCAAAAAGCATCTGAAAAGCTCACAGTCAATGCTGTTTTTACTGACTGGAAATCTCCCTCCTGAGCAAGGCCCAGACAGCCGTGTCCTACGGCCCACTACTGCCGGCAAGGAGAACCAGAAGAAAGAATCCAAATTGGGAAGGCAAAATTAAAGCTCTATATGCACATGACACGAGTCAGTCATAATTTTTAATCAGTATACCAAAAACAATTACAGCATAAACTCGTTCAGCATAGTAGTGGAATACAAGTCAACAGACAGGGCCATTGTGATGGCTCAACAGGTTAAGCTCAGCACCAGCATGCCATATGGATGCCGGTTCATGCCCAGCTGTTCCACTCCCATCCAGCCCCCTGATTATGCCAAGGAAAGCAGCACAGGGTGGCTCAAAGCCTTGGGACCCTGAGCCTGCGTAGGAGACTCCTGGCTTTGGATTAGCTCAACTCCAGTCACTGAGGCCACTTGGGGAATGAACTAGTGGATGGAAAACCTTTCTATCTCCTTCTGTCTGTAAATATTTTTTTAATAAAAATAGATAAAACTTTTTTTAAAAAAATAGACAAAAATTAGTTACCAGTTGCATTTCAATATACTGAAGATGAAATGAACAATTCTGCTTATAATAGCATCAAAAAGAACAAAACATTAGGAAATTAACAAAAAAATCAGGAAATTAACAAAAGAGTATAACACATACATATACAGTATTGTTGAAAGAAACCAAAGACTGAAAACAGATGACATCTTACATTCACTGGAAAGTTCTAACTACTCAGATGACAATACTGCCAATGGGGAAAAAGCCTTTTAACAAATGACAGTGGGACAACTGAATATTGATATGTGAAAGGATGAATCTGGTCTCTTACTGCAGAAAACATATAGAAATGAACTCAAAATGGATCTAAAACTTAGAGTTTAAATTATGTTTTACAAAAACACAGGTATAAATGATCTTTATTTTTAAATACACAATGATTTCTTTTAAAAAAGAGATTTATAGAAAGTCAATGACTGGAACCGAGCCATTCCCAAGCCAGCCAGGAGCTTCCTCTGGGTCTCCCAAATGGACGCAGGGTCCCAAGGCTTTGGGATGTTCTTTACTGCTTTCCTAGGCCACAAGCAAGGAGCTGGATGGGAAGTAGAGAGTCTAGGGCATAAAAGAGCACCCATATGGGATCCTGGCACATGGAAGGCAAGGACTTTAGCCACTAGGGTACTGTGTCTAGCCCTCAAATCTTTGAAAAAACAAATAAAAATGGGCCCCAGCAGCTTAACAGGCTAATTTTCTACTTTCAAGCACTAGCATCCATATGGACACTGACTGGTGTCCCAGCTATTCCACTTCCCATCTAGCTCTCTATTTATGGTCAACAGAGGATGGCCCAATTCCTTGGGTCACTGTACCCACATGGGAAGCCAACAAGCTCCTGGCTCCAAGCCTCGGATCAGCCCAGCTCTAGCCATGGTGGTCATTTATGGAGTGAACCAGTGGGTGGAAGATCTCTCTGTCTCACCTCTCTATTAAGAAAAAAAATCTGCATGATGGCTAAATTGACTAATCCTCCCCTTGCAAGCACCGGGATCCTATATGGGCATTAGTTTGTATCCCAGCTGCTCCTCTTCCCATTCAGCACCTTGCTTGTGGCCTGGGAAAGCAGTGGAGCATGGCCCAAGGCCTTGGGACCCTGTATTCACATGAGAGACCCAGAAGGATCTCCTGGCTCCTGGCTTCAGATCGGGTCAGCTCTGGCCATTGTTATCATCTGAGCAGTGAAACAGTGGATGGAGGATCTTTTTCTCTATAAAACTGATTTTCAATTAAAAAAAATCTTTTTAAAAAGTATGCCTTTCAAATAAAGTCAAATGTTTTTTAAAAATGAAATAAATGAAACTTATGTATATCAGAAGACACTATGTAGAATGTAAAAAGGAAACCTACAAAATGGGAGACGATTCTTTCAAATCACTTACTCAATAAGGTTTTATATCCAAAATACACAAAGAACTATTAAATTCAACAACTAAAACAAACAAACAAACAAAAAACAGCTAAAAATGGGCTAAGAATTTGAACAGGCATTTTTCCAAAGACACATAAATTTCTAGCAAGGACAGGAAAAGATAAATCAAACCAAAATGAGATATTTTATGTTCAGCGTGATGATTACGAATTAAAAAAAAAATCCTTGGCCAGGTGTGGTAGCTTAGCAGCTAAAATCCTTGCCTTGAACACACCAGGATCCCATATGGGCACCAGTTCTAATCCCAGCAGCCCTGCTTCCCTTCCAGCTCCCTGCTTGTGGCCTGGGAAAGCAGTGGAGGACGGCCCAAAGCCTTGGGACCCTGCACCCACATGGGAGACCTAGAAGAGGCTCCTGGCTCCTGGCTTCAGATTGGCTCAGTTCCAAATGTTGCAGCCACTTAGGGAGTGAACCAACGAATGGAAAATCTTTCCCTCTATCTCTCCTCCTGCCTACAAATTTGCCTTTCCAATGTAAGTAAATAAACCTTTTAAAAATAATTAAGAAACAAAAGTCATATAAGTACAAGAAACCAATCTGAAAAGGTAAGAACTTATGATTCCAACTTTGGATAGCTAAACAAAGGTAGTTACAGACAGCAAGAACATTAGCAGTTGGCAGGAGTTCAAGAGAAGAAAAACCAGGTTGAACAGTGCAACTATTCTGAGATATATGAGTTTTCCAGCCCCACAGAGATAGTTCAAGTAACAGGCTCCTGCAACCCCTACTGGAGGTTGGCCTGAGCTCTTAGTGTCAGCCTGGGTCCCAGCGCCACCCAGGGTCACTGCAGGCAGCTGAGGAATACTTCAGTGGATGGGATCTCGAACAAACAAGAAACATGTTAAAAGGCATCAGAAGCCTGTACAACACAATGAGTGAATTCAGATATAAAATGTGAACCTTAGCTAATACTGTTATCAATATTGGTTCATCAGTTTAAACAAATGCACCAAACTAATGCAGGATAAAAGAGAGTAATAGGAGAAATTGTACGTAAGAGTAGGTGAGAAATATGTGAAAAGTATACTTTCTGCAGCCCTAACACTACCCTAAAGAATCTACTTACAATACATACTTAACACAGGGATTGCACCAAATTTTATCCTTGTCTCATGATTCATAAAACTGTTGAGCATTCTAAGGAGAGGAAGTGCAGATTCTTTCACCACTGTAGACTATCAGGTACAACTGAATCATCTTGTCTTCTATAACTCCTTCCGACTGCGCCTCCTCCTCCACCCACATCAGGATTATTTCACAACCTAAATTTCTGTGTTCATATAATTACTTCCATCTGGATGGCTTTTGAAGATTCCATAGTCTTTGGAAACATTTCCGTAATTCATGGCTATACTCCAGTCGTATTAAGAGATAGGGTGACATTACTAAATTGCCAGGCCTCTTGTTCTGTTCACTTTATTCATTTTCCATGAGGTATCATTTTATTAGGAATCTGTGTTCATTTGACACATCATTAAAAAACAAACAAACAAACAAACAAAAAACCCTTGTTCTTGAAGGCCCTGAGGAGTCAAGCCAGATGATTAGATTAGAAAACCTCACTGCCCCTTCAAGAAAGTTATCTGGTATAAGCAAGAACAACTTCTCCATACCCATGTTTCCAAACGACCCTCCCAAGTCATCTTTTTTAGCACACTGTATAAACCTCCTTACTTTTACCTTGGTCTTTCCCAGCTTCATCGACATGCTGAAAATCTTTCAGTGTATGAAGGTTACAGAAGCCCTCTCTGCAATGCTGAATAACTCTCTTTGATCCATTCTTGATGAGATAATCCATTAGCGTAAGGGATTTGTACACATGGCGCCAGTTTTTCCCATGGTCACCAAGTCTCTGCCATAGCATATTCATAATCTCCGAGAGAGAACTCGTGTTGAAAGTCAAGTCACTGATATCCAACATCAGAGAACTAGAGGGACCCCACGGGTCATTGGAAGTTGCTTCCCTGACTTTAATTTCTGCATCTGAGTAATTTTTCACAAAGTTTTTCATTTGCCTTCTGAATGCCATGAGTAAGACAAATTTAAAGGTGAGACAGGTGATGATAATAATGGAATAGAAGCTGTGCCATTGGTTTACAATACTCCTGACAGGTAAATGGTCCCCAACTCCAAATGATTAGTCTCCATGTTGGCAAAGTACCAATTTCCTACAAAACAAGCATAAAAAATGCACAAGTTGATAAACATATATAAATTACTTTTTTAATGTCTACAGGAGATGATGTTGGAGCATAGTGAGTTAGACACCTCCTGTGAAACCAGCATCCTGTACCACAGCACTAGTTCAAGTCCTGGCTACTCCACTTAGGATCCAGCTACCTGTTAATGTGTATGGAAAGACAGAAGATGACTTCAGTATTTAAGCTCCTAACACCCAAGTGGAAGACCCAAATGAATCCTGGCTTTGGCCTGGCCTAGCCCTGACCATTGCCATATGAACCAGTGGACTGAAGATACCTCTGTCTCCCCAGGCCCTCTCTGCCTTTCAAATTTATAAATAAAATCTTAAAAAGAAAAAAAAAGTTTCTGTAGGAAATCAACTTATCTGGGCAGCAACCGAATAATTATGAAGCATTACATGAACAATGGACATTAAAAATGGCATTTGTATTTGGATAACTCTTCTCAGGGCTAAAAATATTATGTCCTAAAATTAACTTAAATGATGGCTTTTAAAAAGTGAGTCTTGGAATCACCTAGTAATCCTATGACTGCATTCTTCTTAGAACTAGAAGTCATTAGAATCTGATCTAAATATGTCTTGTTACTGTAAACTGAAGTCAATCAGCTATTAAGACAACAGTCACACCTCAAGAGACTTCATGGGAACTCCTAATCCCATAAAGTCAGTATTTAGTCCAGATAATGTTGGTAAATTCAAAGGAATGGGTAAATTACTTTCTTTACTCACTTTATGAACAAAAATATGAATTTAGGATTACAGTGTCGACCGTAACATTCAAGACTGGAGTGATCAGCATGTATCTGACAGATCTCAAAGAGATGATTTGGGCTGCTATAAAAATACATCCAAGCACATTTTGGGCACAGTAGGTAAGACAGAAGATGGGCTAGGCATTGTGGTGTAGTGGTTTAAGTTACTGCTTGGGATGCCCACCCCATAGAGTGAGTGCTGGGATCCAGTCTGTTTCCAGTTCAGCTTCCTGCTAATGTGGATCCTGGGAGGCAGCAAGTGGCTCAAGGGCTTGAGTCCCTGCCACCACAAGATCAGAATGGAGTTCCTGGCCCCTAACTTTATAGCCTGTTCCTGTGCCCACTGCCTCAGGCATTTGAGGAGTAAACCAGCAAATGAAAGGCCTGTCACTCTGCCTTTAAAATGAATAAAACCTAGGGGGAAGAAAAGAGAAGAATACCTGGACAGCCACACCCTGGCTCCCATTTCTTGGATCAGCTTGTTCAAGTTACACCCTGGGAGGCAGCAGATAATGGGCCAGGTTCTCGGACCCCTACCACCCAGTTGGAGACCTAGATGCGGTTCTAGGCTCCTGGCTTTGACTGACCCAACTCTGGCTACTGTGGTCATACAGACTGAACCTGAAGATAGACGACCACTTCCTGCCTTTCAAATGAAATAGATTTTAAAATTAAAACATACATACATTTAAACCTTAAAAAGGGATGGAGTCCCAGATGATGCTTGTGAATTAATCAATTCATAATTTATATGAGACTATTCCCTTCCCCCTCCTTTTCACTTTTTGCATTAAGGTGAGTCAGTTTGCAATTTCTCTAGAGATTCATTGTTTACGGTGATGAAGTTAATGTACCAAATTGATTTCAAGCCCTGCTGAGTTCCCAGGCCCACCAAAGCCTGTGTAAGCTATAATCAGATTTTACTAGTGAAACTGCACACACACACACACAAAAGTAAAAATGTTAAAATCCATAACAAATGTATTTGTCACTTTTAGTTTTGTTTCCCCTCCTTGACCTTCTCAGATATTAGCTTAGGCTTGATGAACTTGTATGTGTACTAAAGAAAACATATTTTTTCAGAAACATCCTAAATGAACCATCATTCCTGTTGCAGAAGTCAAAGGAAGTCATTATCTTCTTTTCTGGTGCAAGTACATACATCCTCAGGTAAATGAGATAGAAAATCTATCATTTTAATTAATATTTCTCAGAAAGAGATTAGAAAGAAAAAGGAAAGTATATTTCTACAACCTTTTGATTTTTTCTCATTTGCACTTCAAATATAGACATTCTATCTTCCTTACATACAGCAGAAATCTGATTTATAATGATTCAGTAAGCTATTAAAATTTTCAATCATGAGAATTTTCTATTGTCCTTTTTCTCCTCTTGCCAACTCATTCAATACAGATATACTGTAACATTCGCTTATAGCGACAAATATTGATTGCTCCCTTTACAAATCTATTTTTTAAGAAAGCCTGTTAAAACTGTTTAAGTGTTAGAAGCAGACACTAGTTGCTAAAATCCATTTTTTGGATAGCCATTTATATTTTGGAGGAAATTTTAGTTTTCAGGTTTTCCTATATTCTCCAATCTGCATTCCTAAATTTTTAGAAAGAATGTAAATGAGGGTCCTGCTCCAGAAATATATCAAAATAATAATCTTGAATCCAATCCGATGGCTTAAAATGGATATGCTTGACACCATACAAAAATTAAACATAGTCCCAACCCTCTAACCATTAAAAGAACCACAAAAAAGAAAGTCTGGATAGTGAATTAGTATCACTTACTAATGTATACTGATATGAACAATACTTTGGTACAGAAACAGAGTATACACTATTCTAATTCTTTTAATGTTTAATTTTACCTATTTTAAAGGAACAGAAAAAGTGAGAGAGTGATAGAGAAAGATTTTCCATCTGCTGGCTTATTCTCCAAATGCCCACGTTAGCCAGGGCTGGGCCATGCCCAAGTAAGAGTCTGCAGATCCCATAGGGTCTACCATGTGGGTGGCAACAGCCTAGGCACCTGAAACATCTGCCCCCTAGGGTGCATTATCAGGAAGCTGGACTGGAAATGGGGCGGGTGGGACACAAACTGGCACGTCATAATGGGATGCAGGGTCCCAAGAGATGTTCACCCTGCTAGACCACAAGACCTGCCCCAACTTACTACTGATGTCTTTTCAGACCAACAAGGAATTAATTGGTATTATTTGTAAACTATATGTTGTTTCTGTTTAGACACCTGTCTACATGTAAATGCTTGCTTTATTCATACCATCAAATAACTTTAAGGTTGCAGTTAATCATGCACTGCATAATGAGTTTTTGGTCAAAGACAGACTATATAAGCAATGGTGTTCCCATAACATTACATCACCTAGTGATACAGCAGCCCTCTAAGTATATGCTATAATGTTCACACAATGATGAAATCACCAAATGACATGTTTCTCAGGACGCAGCCTTAAGCAACATGTATGGCGACGTACTACCGGGGTAAATGTCCACACAGGCATTTTGATTGTCGGACTACCCACACCATTATAATACTAAAAAGAAGAAAGTGAATGTTTTCATGTCACAAACTTCTGTTGTGTTTTCCGAGAGGCCTTCACTGACCTTGGTAACTACTAAGGTCCCTCCTTACACCCTTTTGAGTGCCTGCTCATTTCCTTCACACCCCTTACAATGGTGTGTGTCTGTGTCATCATGACCAAACTAGAAGCTCCTTGTGGGCAAGGACCTTGGCCACTGCATCCACCCCTTAACTCTAGGCTCAGCAGACACCAGCAATATCCTTTGGGACAAAGCTGCAATGGCTCTTCTGCCCTGGACTACACATATTATTATTAATTTTTTTAATAATACCTAGCTCTTGTAATTCTTGAGTTCTGAGCAAACATTTTCAAATCAACAAATATTCCTAAAGACCTAGCATTTCTCTTTTGCATTTCTTTTTCTATATTTACATTTCTCTTTCTAAAACATGATCTCTACTTTCAACAACATTCTATTACTGCTTAGTAAAGGAACTGTCTTCCCTAATAGTCCCCCAGCTAACAAACGCTAACATACAAAAGGTTTCTTAGTTTTCTTTTCAGATCTGCCCACTATTGAAATGCTACTTCCCCACAACACCTCTTATCTAAATTGTCACAGAAAGTGATTTAAGTTACCAGGTATCATTAATCTACAGAATCACAATCTCACCCAAATCTCTTCAGGCTGAGTGAGTTTTAGAACTCGATTTTTATTTTTCTAACTTTGGATTTCTGAAAGATAGTGCAGTGCCTAGACCACAGATAGCATGAGAACCACAGTGAGGTGAGCGGTCGCCTCGCACAAAGCCAACATGTAAATATTTAGAATAAAGACTGGAAATGGCCTCACATAACGGAGGATCTGATTGCCCAAAGGGACGTGGAGAACACTGGCCGTTAAAGCTTTCTGGATTTTGGAACTGAGAATCAGGGCCAGAAGAGCCGGCCAGACGCGGGCCAAGCCTGACAGGAGCCATGGCGAGCAGCGCCGAGGAGGGGATTCTGAGGAAAGGACGGACGCCACCCAGGGGCTGGAGAAGCACGCCAAGCTGCCGCCCGTGCCGCCCGCAGCCCGCCCTTCAAGGTGCCTGCGGCTTTGAGCTCCTGCTCGCCATTTCCCCCGCCGAGGCTTAGCTCCTCCGTGACTGGCGGCTGGGAGACAGGAGCGACCTGGCATGGCCACAGCCAACGTCCACCTCGTTCCCTCAACGAGCAGGTGAGAGCGAACTCCACGCAGGCGGAGGGAGAGACTCAGCCCGCTTCGGACAGGCAAACCTCTCCGCCTCTACTGAGGCGCGGCCCACGGGAAGGGTTCTAGAAGGAGGAAGGGGCATCATGGCGTCTCACAGCAGGTATCTCCCAGAGGCTGGGCTGGCAAGACAGTTCCAGGGCGCCCTCCACCCGCACACTCCAAAACTTACAGCTGTTACCTCAGGTTGAGGCCCAGGAGCTGCCTGTGGGCCTTTCCTCTCTCAGGTTCAAATCCTCCTCGAAGACTCTGGCCGAAGCAGCCACTT